TCCAAACAATCTTAAAAGAAAACAACAAAGTTGGAAGTCTTACGCATCATGATTTCTGAACTTCCTACAAAGCTACAATAATCAAAACAGTTCAGTACTGACTTAAGAGCAGACATTTGGGTCAATGAGAATAGTGAGCCCAGAAATAAGCCCTTGTGTATATGGTCAAGTGATATTTGACAAGGGTGCCAAAACCATTCAATGGGGACGGGACAGTCTTTACAACAAATGATGCTAGGAAAACTGGATCTCCACATGCAAAAAAAAAAAAAAAAAACCAAAATTGGACCTTTATTTCATTCCCTATACAAAAATTAACTAAAAATGGATCAATGGTTTAAACATAAGAGGTAAAAGTATAACACTTTTAGAAGAAAACATGGGACAAAATCTTCATGATATTGGGTATGGTGATGATTGTTGGATGTGACACCAAAAGCACAGGCAACAAAAGAAAAAATAATAAATTGGACTTCATAAAAATTAAAAACTATTGTGCATCAACACAACTCTTTTCAACAGAGTGAAAAGGCAACCCATGGAATGGGAGAAAATATTTGTAAATCAATCACACCAGCTAAGAAGTTAATATCCACAAATACATTCTGGATGGACCCCTACAATTCACAATGAGAGCAAACAACCCAATTTTAAAATAGGCAAAGGAATTGAATGGACATTTCTCCAAAGAAAATGTACAAATGACCCATAAGCACAAGAAGAGATGCTTGACATCAGTAATCATGGTTATTATTTAAAAGACAACAACAACAACAGAAAATAAAGCATCGGTGAGTATGTAGAGAAACTGGAACCCTCATGCATTGTTAGCGGGAACGTGAAATGATGTAGCTACTGTAGAAAACAGTATGGCAGTTCCTCAAAAAGTTAAACATAGAGTTACTACCTGATCCAGTAATTCCACTGCTCGGTCTGTACCCAAAAGAAACGAAAGCAGGAATTTGACTAGCTATTTGTACACTAACATTCATAGTGGTATTTATAATAGCCAAAAGATAGAAACAACCCCAATGTCCATCAACCGTTGAATGGGTAAATAAAACAGGGTCTAGGCATATAATGGACTATTATTTAGCCCTACAAAGAAATGAAGTTCCCACACATGCTGTGACATGGGTGGACCTTGAAGACATTATGCTAAAGTAAAATAAGCCAGTCACAAAAGAACAAATAGTCTATGATTCCACTTATATAAGATCCCTAAGGAGTCAAATTTATAGAGACATAGGGTAGAGCAGAGGTTCCCTGGAGCTGGAGGAAATGGGAACAGGGAGTCATTATTTTATGCGGACAGAGTTTCAGTTGGGGAAGATGAAGAAGTTCTGGAAGTGGATGGTGGTGATGGTTGCACAACATTGTGGATTTACTTAATGCCACTGAATTAGACATTTAAACATGGTTAAGAAAGTTAATTTTATATGTTTTACCACAATAATAATTTTAAAAAGAAGTAGGTTGATGGAGTCAGGGAGGCCTGTGCACTCTGTTCTGAGGAGCCCCCATCTGGAACACAGGGTTCTTGTCTAGGAGGTACATTCTTGGGGAGCCCTGGCAAACCAGAGCTGCTCAGCGAGGCAGGCTGGACATGTGCACCGAGAGAAGCCAAGAGCAGCCTGTCTTCACACGGCTGAGGGGCAGACAGGAAAATGTACAGGGTGTTTGTCAGCAGAGGACTGCAACAGACAAGCAGAGGAAGTGCCAGGGAGACCGTTTGGGGTTTAATTTCCAGCCGATCTTTCTGACAACCAGTGCCACTTAGCACTGGAATGGCTGGGTGATTGGGAGCTGTCCACCGCTCAAGAAAGGCTAGATTCAAACCAAGGCTGGAGAAGCAACCGGTGGGGATGTACGCCGTGAAAGGGATTCTTGTGACCATAGGAGACTGGTCCTTCTGCCCTCGATGAGCCCTAGCTGTGACCCCTCAGGCCCTGATCTCTTAGGGGCCAGGCTGGTTGCCCTGCCCAGGGACAGGCAGGAAGCCTCTTCCAAGAATTAGGAGCCCTGCATTCTAGTGTCAGCTCCATCTGTGGTCGGCTCTTTGATGTTAGATGAATCACCACCTCTCTGATCATCAGTTAACTCATCTGTGTAACCAACACCTGCCCGCCCTCCTTCACCTTGCCTCCCCCAGAGGTGTGGTAGGGATGGAGTGAAGCCAGGACTCATGAAGAGGAGAGCCCAGATATCTTACCAGCCCTCCTCCGCTCCTCCGTATTTCTACTTTCCCTTCCTCACAGATCAGGGCTGGTACTGTTTCCCGGTGCGCAGTTTGCACGCCACTGGTGGCACGTGGGATGCTAATGGTGATACAGGAGGGTTATCTACCATTGTGCATTTGTTTTAATATGTGCTGATGTATACCTGATACTTATAGCAAATAACAGGGCTTTTTTGTGATAATAATATCCACTTTCTTCTTAAACTTACTTACAAGACAATAGACAAGTTGCCAAAAGTGAGCTTAAGAAGAAGAATAAGTAAATAATAAAGGAAGTTGTTGTACTTGAATAAAGCAAAAATCTTGAAGATGGAATGTGAGTGGCTGGGGTTTGGAAACCTCCAGTGGTTGAGGGGACACAACAACCTGTCTCCCCTCACCCCAGTGACAGATCCCCAAGGCCTGGCAATCAGACACAGAGGAAACCAAAAGGTGAAATGTTTGGGTTGGCCCTGATACCCGGTTTCCTTAAGGTGTCAGATGCAGAGATTTTTACCAACCAGCTGAGAACCACTGAGAAACTGAACTTGTCTCTAGGATCTTCCATCCACACAACTGTGAGTTGGCCGTCATCCACCCCCTTCTTTTGCAACCTCCTGTCCCTTTTTTTTCTCATGCCTACCTTTGCCAGAGCAGGATCCACGAAGGAAGAGGGTGGCCCTGACCAGGCATTCACCCCAACGGCTTAGGAAGATGTTGGGCACTTTCCCACATTTAAAGAGAACCCTAGAGAGGTAAAAGTAATCTCCATGGCAAAAGTCAGGCACTGTGCCATGCAGGGAGGGTGACATTCTTGTCCAGGGCAGAAGTCCTAAAGCTCTGCAGCTCACTGGCACCCACAGGTAGGGCAAGCTCCCCTCATGCCTGTGTCTTTAAGCATGATATACGAGATCCCTTATAGGGGAACCATCTAGGAACCTGATCAAGGTCCAGCCCGTCCACCCCTGCCACTACCTTCTGATCACCTCTGTCAAAGGGTCAGTCAGTCAGCCTAGAACACCTACCCTCCCTGAAGAGCAGGAATGAAAGAAGTTTCCAGCTAATTATCAGCCAGAACTTCAGGAGATGGTCCTGGGGGTGGGGAGAGGGGAGCAAGGCTATCCAACTAATGAACCACCATGTCTTGGAGGGTCGTGAAGGGGTGAAATATACACTTAAAATGTCCCCTTCTATTATTGCCCACATCCCATGTCTTAAAGTATTTTCATCTATCAAACTGCATGGATGAAGAAATAATTATCTTCCCCATTTTGATCATCAGAGACATTCTGCAGCAACCAAACATCAAGTTAGTGTAATTCCAGGTGAAAAACAAAGAGAGTTAAACTTTTGTTTAACGAGGTGATCAGAAGACTTTAAGTCTCTTTAAGGGGATCAGTGAGGCCAAGATGGTACCTCCCATTAAACTTTTGTTTAACGAGGTGATCAGAAGACTTTAAGTCTCTTTAAGGGGATCAGTGAGTCCAAGATGGTACCTCCCTACAGCCATGGCAAGCAGGGGTGTCGAGCAGTATTTAATGGCATAGAAACAAACATGCTCTAAAACAGGATGTACCAGCCCATTCTTTCAAACTATACATGCACGGAGAAGACTAGAAATGAGTGCACAAAAATGTCACCAGTGATGTTTATCCAGGTGATAGAATTACAGGCATTCCGTTTTTATGTTTGCACGTGTCTCTGTTTTCTAAATTCTCTACAATGATCAAATTTGGCTTTTGTTAAGAAGAGAAAGATCAATAACATATCTTTTTAAGAAAAGAAACAGTGATGTTGCAAGTTATGATGATGGGGGCCACAGAGGAACGAGGCAAGTTCAAGGTCAGCTGGAAGGTAGGAAATCAGAGGTAGACAGAAAAAGGAGAGCTGAAGCCCAGTGGGACAAGGGGTATGCTTCCTTCTGCCCAGCTGGGTTGCAAGAGAGGATGGGATTTGGAGACCACAGGGCACGTGTTGGATGGCCGAGTCTAAGGAGTGCGCCTCCCCTCTGTTGCTTCGTTGAGTGACCCTGTCAAAGTCACTTTCCCTGGCTACCAAATGCTTTTCCCTCCGATGGCCTATGACTCTCGGCAAGCAAGGTGTTATGATGGTGGTACCCACATGTGATGTCTCCTCTTTTGGAAAGGCAAATATGTCCAATAATGAGGTAGGGTGATGTCGGCACTTTAGGGGACAAAAGTGTGATAAAATAGGTCATGGGATGTGGTGTGTGTTCTTCCATGATTTGTCCCCCTGCCTCCTGTGGAGCTAAAATGACTGAATTTAAGGCCTCTGATGCACTTGAAATTAGTTGTTTCCCTCCTCATAAAATTAGGAAGAGATGGGGACGGCTTGATGGTGCCCTGGAAGCCGTGAGTTCTGATTCTTATCCGCCATGCCCTGGCCATAGCTCCCCTTCCTTTGGGCATCAGTAGAACGGCAAAGAAATAGGAAGGCAGGGACAGCTCCTTTGACCTCAGAGCGGACGCTCAGCGGGTACCTATCAGCGAGAGTTGTTGAAAACACAGGCCATGCTTAGAACTGCACCCACCCCTCAGTCATGTGTCCGGTCCTCTTGCTTTCCCCTTCCCCTGAACCCCCAGAGCACATAAGCTGGCTCTTGGGAAAGCCACGTGGAGAGATGGGGCTTCAGCTGGGCCCTAGCCAACAGGAGGACCCTGGAGGAGTGGCAAAGGGGACAGGAGACTGGCCAGAGCAAGAGAGAGGCACGGGCCAGCCTGGGGCAGGGAGGGATGGCGGGCAGGCCGGCCTCGGCACTGACCTCGGGGAGCGTCCATGGGGTCGAAGCTCGCTAGCAGGTCACGGCACCGCTGGCGGTCACCTTCTACCGTGCTCAGCCAGCTGTTACAGTTGAAGTAGTAACGGAGGTGAGGCCGCTTCATGTCGGTGACAATCACACGATCCAGGTACCAGCTGGCATTCAGGCCCGTGTCGTCGTGCTCGATCCTGGGGCGGAAGCAGACACCCACACGTCATTGGCAGAACGGAGACAACACCCCTTCCACACTGGAATACCCAAATGTTCACTCCAAAGAGGGGTTCCATCATTTTGTTCTTGTGGTTGCTTTACCCCTCGAACCTCAACTTCCTCATCTGCAAAATGGGAATACCCTGCAAGGTAGAGGTGCTTATTAATGAGCGTTACATGGTTACATCACCCGCAAGGTAATAACGCCTTCCACAGAAAATCCAGGATTGCCTAGGCTTGCGGCAGGACCATCTTGAGCTTCCCTTCCCTCTCTGACCCCCAGACCCCCAGACCTACCCCCCCAGATACTCACCTTAGTCCCACCACCCAGATGACTCCCCCTGGCCATCTAGACTGACATGGCCCCGTGGAAATATCACATGAGCTGCATGTGTGAGCCATGTGCGTAAGCTTAGATTTTCTAGTAGCCACATTAAAAAAGAAGCAAAAGGACCGGGGAAGTTCATCTTAATAACGTATTCTATTTCATCCATTTATCACTTCAACACCTAACCATGTGAAAATTTACTAATGAGATATTTGACATTCTTTTCTTTTACTAAATTTTCAAAAAGCTAGTGTGTTTCTATATGCCTACAGTGCATCTCAATTTGGACTAGCCACATTTCAAGTGCTCAGTAGCCACACGTGGCCAGGGTCCATTGTATCTGGCAGCACAGATCCTCACTCTTCAAAATCTGGCCTCCCAAATTTCCCGCACTTCCTACAGTCCCCCTCAGGCTTTGGCAGGCCCAGTTTTTCCTCTGAGGTCAGTGTCTCCTCCGACCTTGACCTCTGGATGGCCTCACTTTGCACCAAGCGTCTCCTCCCTGCTCGTTGCAGTGAGGCCCTATCTTTGCTATTTGTGGGACAAACACAAACTCAAGACAGCACATTCCGGACGGACTGATGGTGTACACGAGGATGCATGTCTCTGCCTGGCAGAGAGCCCAGCGCAGTAGGACCTCAGAGTAATGGTTGCCTTTCCCCACACCAACACCCTCTCCCGACCCTCCCCTTCCCTGTTCGTCACACAGCCAGTGCCAGGGCCCTCCTGTGTCCCTTACTTCCCCAGGAAAGTTCGTGGTCTTATACTTTCTAGTGGGAGGAAGACAAATCAGGACTGAACTGAGGAAGCATTTGACCCCCATCCAGGCCGTAGCCTGGGTGCAAGCAGACCACAGATGACCTTGACATCCTGACAAATGGGCGTGAACTTGAATGGGCATGGGTAGTAGGGAGGGAGGGGGGACAGGGAGGGCAACTGAAGGCTCTTCCTTGGCAACCAGGCTGATAGAGTTCTCCTTCCCCACATGCTCACACCAACGCCCCCAGAGGGCATCAAGAGGCATCCTGCAACGTGACCTGGCATCTCTAACCCGTGCTGAGTGCCCGCTACTATCTAAGCACTAACTCACTGAGTCCTCACTACCTCGTTACTACAAGTGAGGGAAGTGGGGCTTGGAGAGGAATTGTCTGAAGTCCCACAGCTAGCGAATGGCGGGGCAGACGTTTGAACCACAGTGATCCGGACTCAGAATTGGCTCCCGACCACTGTGTTCGTGCCTCTCAGAGCTGATTTCCCAAGTGTGTGAGACAGCGTCTCAAACTGTCTTAACCCAAAGAAGTGAATCTCTAATGGGCGAGTTTGGGGTGGGAGGGAAAGACTTGGGCCTTCAATCACCCCTCAAATGACACCAGGGAATAATCAACACCCAGAAAGTGTCAGTAGTGACGTCAGTCCCTAATCTACTGGCCTTCTTCTCACTCCCTCCCTGGTCAGGGGCCAGATTCCTACCTGATTTTGTAGATGAGGCCCACATTGTTGGTTCTCACCCGGAACACGTCGACGTTGGCTTTCTCAAAGGCAGATTCACTCCTACAATGAACGTGTGCACAGTTAGCACAGATTTGCCCTTGGCTCACAAGCCCGGGAGGAGAGCCAAGGGCTGGCAACCCCCTTCTTCCTCCTCCGTCCCAGTCTTGGGAGGTGCTACGAGTCACCGCTCCCATTCTAAGAGTCCTTTCCAACAGAGGGCGAGGTTGGTTAGTATTCACTCCTTGCTTTCACCGTCAAGTTGGCCTGTGATGCTTGCCGTGTGTCACTAGGACAAGTATGGTGGGCAATATTAGCCCCATTTTACAAACAGGGACTCTGCTCACTGGTAGCAGAGCTGGGACCAGAACCTGGATCTCCAAAGTCATGACCCAACGGGCTCTGGTTGCTCTGAGTTGGGACAGTGGAGGAAGAAGGCGGGCACAGTGAATGCCGTGGTGCTCTTGGGTCTGCAGGCCCCCGGGCCTCTCCTCACTTGCCTTGCTCTTGCTGCGGGGAGTTGCAATGGCAGCCCCAAGCGGATGCAGACCTTGGGTTGTGGTCCACGGTCCTGCCATTCCAACAAGGAAGGAAACATTCAACCCAAACCAGCAACCAAGGGAGTGGGGCGGTGAGGGAATACATATCTGGCATTACACAGATGGTGTGAACAGAAGCAAGTACACCTGAGATGTTCCTCAACGAGCTGCCCAGGTGAGTCCAAACTCAGGAGCGTCCTAGATTCCATCAGCTTAGACACAGGAGGGCAGGAGCAGCCTCACCACGGAGTCCTCCGGGAGCAGAAGCTGGAATCTCGTGTGGACATCGGCTGCGTCCTCTGTGTGGGCTGGGACCCTGCCAGTGGAGCCTGCTTACAGCTCTTCCTGCCCCCACAGGGAAGCCCTCACAGGCCGGAGAGCTGTGGACGTCCCCCCGGGCCCCCAGCTGGGGCTCCCAGCACCAGCACACAGCCCCCAGGGAAAAGAAAAGCGTGAAACACACATGCCTATTTATTGGCCATTACTGTGTTTCCAAATCAAGAGGGAAGTGAAGAACCTTCTCTCTAAGGCAACAAGGCTCCCACTCTCTCAGCCACAGAAGGCTTGTAAGGTTCTACGGACTCGGAAGCTGTGTCCTGCAAACAGGCCCACTTTAGCAAACAGTCTGTCCTGAGAAGTCTCCTGAAGGTGGGCACATCATGAGGCATGAGGCCTCAGGCCTTCCTAAAGCAGGCAGAGCTCATGAAGTCAGGTGATAAGCATACACAGAGGCAGCCTTGTCAGGGGACAAGTTGAGGTCTGGGCACAGAGGGTGAGGAGGAGATAGTGCTAGAAATTTCTGGATTTTTGTTCGAGTGAAAGGACCCATTTGCAGGCTTGCTGCACATACCTGTCAGAACCTCACTTCCAACAGTGAATAATGACACAGCCCATGTTTTGTTACATGGTGTGCCATGGTGTGGAAAACACATGAACATCGATTCTGTGCCTCGGGATTGTGTGAATGGGAAAGAAGTGAATAGGAGGTATTTTCTGTTTCAACATGAGATAAGGAAATACATTTTTAGAAGAGACAAGAGTCTCTATATCTCTACATCGACCTAGGAAAGAGTGGCCCTGGGAAGCTGTGTGGAAGAATATCATGCAGCCGTCAAAAACTCCTGTTATAAAAGAAGAGTTAATAGAACAGACACAGCCTTATGATATAGGCTTAAAAGAAAAAGCAGATTAAAAATAGAATGTGTGAACAGAACGACCAACACAACAGGATGCCAACTGCATTTAAAAACAATGGAGTGGAAGGATTTATCCAAAAATATCGTGTCTGGATGGTAAGACTATTATGAAATGTTGGTTATTTATTCTTGTCTGTATACATTTAAGTTTTCCGAAGGGAGCGCATCTTGATTTGCAATCACAAACACAGCGCAGTCCCGTTTCCGCAGCCCCCGCTCCCCGCGGCCTGCAGCTGCCTGGCGTGAATCCTCGGGCCGAGTTTGAGGATGGTCAGGCTTAATCTGCTGCGGGGCCTGGAATTTGGGAAACAGCCAATGCTGATGAGCAGGGGGAAAGAGGGGCGATTTGGAGGGAAAGCAGCTGGTGTCCTGGGGAGCCTCTGACCACAGCCCCTTCTGGAGAAGCTCTGACAGCTGCCTTTAACCTTCAGAAAGGCCCTGTGCCCTTGACCAGGTGGCACGTGCAGTCGGACGTCCCAGTGTGTTTGTTAATAGTTGACCATGGCGCTTTACTGTCCCTCGGACAACAAATGTTAGAAAGCGAGGTGGAAGGAGGGAGACCAGGAGAGAGAGGTCTACCACGATGGGCAGAGGGTCTCCGGACCCCAGCGGAGCGTTCCAGGGTATCACAGGATGTGGAGCAGTTGTCCGCAGAGCTCATGCGATGGGGCCCAACATCTCGCTGGCAGGGCCTCTCTCCAGAGGAAGGAAGGGAGGGACTGCAGAGACAGACCCACCCGGACTCTCTTCTTGCAGAGAGGGGCCAGGATAATCCCAAAGAAGCCCCAACTGCCACCCACCAGGTCAGATTCTGAAATGCCCACTTCTGGGAAGTCAGAAGGCAATACCGGTTGGTTTCAGAGAACTGACTGGAGGCAAGAGAGAAGTACCAAAGGACAGAGGATCCCCTGGCAAAGGAAACATGGGAAATGCAGACTTCTTCACGTTCCCTTGTGGGGGAATGTGGCTGCCCCGTGGCTCCTGGCCGCTCAGCAAATGAAGGCTGATACAGTCAGCAGCCCCCTCCCCACCCAGGGCCTGCCCATTCAGCGGGGACCCCTACCCAGGAGAGCCTGTGAAGGCCGCACAGGGCATTTTAGCTGCCAACCTGGCAGAGCTAGCGGGCTAAAATGCCAGGCGTTCTCCGACACTCAGATGGTGAATTCTCAACAGGAGAACCGCGTTCCAGAAGATGCATGAGATCCCATCCTTTTGCCATATTCTGAATATGTGACCCAGTGCTGGGGGTGGTCCTGGGTAACAGGGAAGGGCACCCAGAACATGGGGCCTTCCCCTGGGAGCCATGGCTGTTGACATTCACATGGTGCGGGGTCGGGGTGGAGGTCAGCTGACAGGGGATCCAAGTGAACATGCCACTCTCTTTGCTGCCTAACAGAGGACCCCGTGTGTACTGAGGAGTCAGACACTGGACCACGAGGGTCAGAACAGTCAGCATGTTAACATCAGGCACCAGACAATTGCAGCAGAATTATTTTGTATTGGGAAATAAACATTCTGAAAGGCCAGGTGGGAGGCAGGTGAAGTCCAGGAGCACAGGAGAAAAGGCAGAAGACAGGGCAGGAACAGAGAGAGAAGAGAGAATAGAGAGGGCGTGGGAGACACAGTAGAGGAAGGTGGAGTGAGGGGGCGCAGCCACACGCCCTGGAGAAAGCAGCCAGGGAGAAATTCCAGGGTAGGCAGGAGCTTAATCTTCAGACGTCAGAATCTTGTCTAAGATTCCATTTCAAGTTGTTTGCATTGCTGTGCTGGGAACTCGCTCTGGTGCCCTGAGTATCAGGGAAGTCTATACACTCAAAACACCCTGTAGCCTCTGTGTGTGTGCGCGTGTGTGTGTAAAGCAAGGAAAAGGAGCTGGGTGCCAGTTGACACACGAGTTGGCTTTGGGGTGAGGCAGGGCATCAAGGAGGGAACAGCAGCCCACAGCGAGATGAGAAATTGGGAGCCAGACCCCAGGGCAGGGGTGGGGGCGAAGGGTGGGCTGGAACGCCTGCCTCTAAATGTCACAGCAAGGCGACCTCTGCGGCCCTCGGCGTCTGGGTTCCTCAAGCAGCCTGGAATTCCTTGGAAAGCGGTGTTCCCCTCCCAGGCCCAAGGTCTCCACCTTGAACTGAAAGCATCTTAGGTGGCGAGGATTGTGTCTTTGCAATTCTCTCTGCAGACACTTCCTCAGGTCTTACAGCGGCCAAGTTAATCTTTCTTGGCCATGTTGTAAGTCGGGCCTCCGCTGATCAGCTTGTAAGCAAGGCCTTCTAAAGCCGGGTCCTCCCCTCCTGGCTCCTTGCCGCCGCTGTGTGTCTGCAAGCTGATCCCTGGGGTCTAAAGTACCCTCCCCCTGCTCCTCTCTCATCTGAGTCTCTTTCACTACCCGAGGCCCAGATCACCTGCCCGTCCCTGTAAAGTCCTGTTCTGGCCGCCCTGACAACGCAGCACTTACGGGGCTCTGACTGTTTGCAAGCACCTGGGAGAGGGGCCGGAGGGATGAAGCCGACCTCCCCTCACGGTCCACTCCACCTGGCATCCCTCTGCACATCACGTCCCCAGCCTCCCAGGACGGACAGCGGGGGCTACAAAATGAGCCCCACCTCTGAACCCACCACCTGCTCCCCCTGGGCTCCTGCAGAGCCCTCCAGGCCAGGCCGACCGGGGTCCAGGCCAGACCTGTGCCCTTGCTGCCCAACCCGGAGCACGACACAGGTACAGAGAGACCTGCCGAGTCACGGGGCCGGGAGGGGGGGGTGCTGATTTCTCTCCGTGGAGCTGGCGTTGAGATGTTGGCTGACGTGTGACGCCTGGAAACCTCCTGACCCCGTCCCTCTCTCTGCCATGATGCAGTCTTCCCTTCTGCCCCTGGAATTCACGCTCCTGGGAAGGGGGACTCAGTGACAAACCTGCCTACTGGCTTATGAAGGGTGACTCTGGGACCTTCCCGAGAGGCTGTTTTGACAGATGGGAACAGTGGGGGGTGGGGGGGAAGAGCGAGGGTACTAGGTGCAAGAAAGTAGGAAAAACAGTGAGGAACCACCTTGAAAGGAGAAAACAGTTCTTTTTGTTTAAGAGAGGCAGGCGGGGGACTCCAGTAACCCCCCGGGCTGATTTCCCAGAGCCTAGTGGCTTCTCCCTAGAGTAGTGCGCTCCGGGCAGGTCTCATGGCAAAGAGGATGGGCATTTCATGTCTTCTCTTTACCGTGCCCACATCACCGGAGAGAAAGACTTCCGCAAGCCAGTCACTCTGCAGGGTAAGCAGTACAAGAAGGCGGGTACCCTGTTCTGCGGAAATGGACAAAATTGGACGTTACGCCGGCCTCGATGAGGCCACTTTTAGGCCACAGCCCACGCTCAGGGCAAACCTGGGGGCAGGGCCGGGTCAGTCTGCGAAGCAGAGTTTGTGGATGTCCTGGCCTGGGGGCCCCACTGCTCCACAGCCTCCCCTACCGCCCCCCCCAACCCCCCAGGAAGTCACAGCCTGGAGGCTCAGGAGGCCTGGAGGGGAAGCTCCTGCACACCCTCCGGGCCTCAGGGCCCGTGCTCGAGGAAAATGTCCACATCACCTGGGGTTTGAGGACCAGCTTTACCATCTAGAAGCTCTATGACTCAGAGCTCATCTCCCCTCCTCTCTAGGCCTCAGTTTCCCCATGAATGAGTTGAAATAAATTTAGTGGATTTTCACATTTTTCTTGGCTATAGGACTCTTGGTGCAAATAAAATCTGACTCAGAAAGTCGGTGGGCAAGACAACCATAAATCGAGCTACTGTGGAGGAAGGAAGGATGGGGGCACAGTGGGCTCAGAATCGGCTGACCTATCCCCAGTTCTGTTCAGGACAGATCGCAAACCAGCTGTCTACAACAGCGCTCTAGCCCCTAGACAGCTCTGGAATTGTAGGACCCTGCTAACGTGTCCCCATGTTTTGCTCTGGGTATATCTGTGTGCACTCGTGTGTGGTCAGGGGGGAGGATCAAAATGAAGAGGCAGCAGCCCCTGTTGTTAATGGATTACAAATGACACGGAGGACACAAAGCGTACACACAAACACACACACAGAACACATCTACCCAAACACACATGCACAAGTACACACACAAGAAGTCCATGTGGTGGACTCGAGCACGCATTAGCTGGCAGGCAGGTGCTGTGTGATGGTGAGCCCTAGGAGAGACACAGGCGCAGAGCATTTTAAACTCCTGGCTCCTTTGAATGCATGATTTTGTCTCCTCCTCTCAACCGCCCTGTGGTTTTTGTAAAAGGGGGAAGATCACTCCCAGATGCTAGATGAGGAAGCCAAGGCCTTGGATGCAAAGAGATTTGGCCAAAGTGACATGGCAACTATGTGGTAAAGCTGGACCCAGACCCAGGGTTCCTGGTCCTGAGTGTCTTCTCCCACAGCAAGGGACAGCTAATATGATTCTTGGGAATTCTGAGATCCAAAGTGGGCATTACTTCACACGAACACCAACAGGAAGGTTGACAGGAGATCACTGGGAAGGACCCGGTTGACATGTGGTCTGTCATTAGCAGAGGCCCCGTGCCACTTAATATGCCTGTGGACACATGGGTCTTCTCCCTGGATTCCAGAACTGCATCAATCCCAACTAGCGGCCCACAGTCCCACCAAGGCCAAGTTGGTACTCACTTGCTGGTGAGATGGAGCTTGGGAGAGAGCCCATTCTCTCCAAAAAGGGTGATGAAAACATTGGCATCTGTCCCTGCACCACGAACATCCCCCGTGGCTGTGACCACCTCATACACTGGAGGAGAAAAGAAGACATCACAGGCTTATCAGAAAGCCCAGGATCCTACATGGGCTTGGAGAAGCCAGAGCTCCTGTCAGCTCCGCAGGGGATACCCAGCCAAAAGGTCTCTATAAACCCCTGCTACAGCCCATAAACCTCTGAGCCAGGGTCAGACCCACACCCAGTTCTGCTGTAAGACCAAACCTATTTAATGGTGCACGCTCATTTTACAGGTGAGGAAGCTGTAGGACTGGAGGGGCGGGTCACACAGCACCCAGTGTCAACACTGGAGCCCAGCCCAGGGCCTCTGGACACCTAGTCTGTGATCTTTGCAGCACAGCACCCAGATGCCTCCTAGACATAGCCTTCAGAGCCTGCCCCTGCTCTCACCCTCCTCTCTATGAATGCAGTTGCATTGCCAGCCCTCACCTCCCCTGACCTTCTGAGCACTATCATTGCAGGCCCAGGATGAGCCGTCCCAGAGCTGAGTGATGCAGAGATTCGTCAGGGCTCCTTTCTTGACAGGGGCACTGATTTCCGCTCTTTGGTTCCTAGAAGCTTCTACTAGTAGCTTCTGCTATTAATGCCTTTTCTTTGGAAATCCCTGGTTCTGATGAAGATCCCAATCAAGGCACTGTGAGACAAGAGAGGAAGCAGTACGTTTGCACAACTCCTTGTCTCTTGTGATAGGCAAATCCTTAATTCTTCATAGTCTACACTACAGCGGTGCCTGATCTGTAGACAAGCCCTGGATTCCTCCCTGGGACAACTCCAGACCTAAAGTGTTGCCCACATGGCTTGGCACGTACACAGGGGCATTTCCAAACTGTCCACAGAAGAATGAGAAGCATGGTGGAAATTCCAGGACCACATCACATGAGAAAGGACACAGAGGTCTGGAGATGTGTGGTTTGGAGGAAAGGAGAGTCCGGGGTGTGAGAGGGATGAGCAAGCTGCCTCAAAGGGCACATTGGCCATAAAAAAATTGATAAATTGGACTTATTGAAATGAAGCCCATTATCTGAATGAAAAGGCAAGTCACAAACTAGAAGATATTTGGAATGCATATATCTAACAAAGGACTCATGCTCAGAAGATGTAAAGAATTCACACAAATCAGTAAAGAAAACAGATACCACACTATTTTTTTAATGGGCAGCAAATTGTTTAAAGATAAACACACACTTACCATAACATCCAGACATTCCATTTTTAGGTATTTATCCAAGGGGAATAAAAACATGTCTACACAAAGACCTACATACAAATGTTCATAGCAACTTTATTCATAATAACTCTAAACTGGAAACAACCTAAAAATCCAAGCACAGATGAATGGATAAATAAGTTGTGGTATATCCATACAATGGAATACTACTCAGCAACAAAAAGGAATGAACTACCCTCATATGTGATATAGATGAATCTCAAGCAGGTTATTCTGAGCAAAAGAAGTCAGACACAAACTCTATGCACTGTAATGTTATTTACATGAAGCTTTAGAAAAGACTAATCTATTTTAACAGAAAGCAGAACATGGTTGCCCTGGAGTTGGAAGCAGAGGGAACTGACTAAGGAGGGGCACAGGGAACTTTGGGGGATAATTTAAATGCTTTATATATAGATTGTGCTAATGGTTATACAGATGTATACATATTTCAATGCCTGTCAAACAGCACATTTAAAATAGGTGCATTTTATTATGAGGTAATTATATTTCAATAAAATTGTATTTCAATAAAATTGGAAAATGGGCAAAAGACTTAAACAGGCATGTCCTAGGAGAAGATACCCAAGTGGTCAATAAGCATATGGAAGAGTGCTCAGCATCATTATTCATCAGGGAAATGCAAATTGAAATTACAATGAGATACTACCATATACCCACCAGGATGACTAAAATTAAAAAGACCGACAATACTAAGTGTTGACAAAAATGTGGAGCTACTGGCACTCTCACACATTGCTGGTGGGAGTGTAAATTGGTTCAAGCACCAGTAGCTAAACATATGCCCATTCTATGACTCAGCAATTCTACTTCTAATTATAAATCCAAAAGAAATGAATGCACGTGTCCATCCAAAGATGCGTACAAGATTCGTAACAGCTTTATGCATAATAGCTAAAAACCAGAAATAACCCAAATGCCCACCAGCAATAGAATGGTTAAATAAATGATGTATTTATAAAATACAATAGTACCCAAAAAAGAACAAACTATATAGCAAGTCACAACATGGGTAAATCTCTCAGAATGTTGAGTGAAAGAGGAGCTAGACACAAATATGTGTATACTGTATGGTTTTGTTTATCTGAAGTTCAAGAATGGAAAAATCTAATCTATACTGATAGAACTGGGAGAGCTGTTACCTTTGGGAAGGAGAGTGAAGGAACTTTCTGAAGGTTGGAAAAGTTCTGTGTCCTGATCTGAATGGTAATTCCACAAGCATGCGCATACATGAAAAGTCATCAGGTGGTACCTTTATGAAAGTTTTGTACTGTATATATATTACTCCTTAATTTAAAAATTTTAATTAAAAACTCAGTTCAGATAGCTGAAGGACTATCTTGTGGAGGACAAATATCCCGTGGAAAACATAAGATTCTGTTTGGCTCCAGAGGGGAGGACCCCAAACAGCACTGATCAGCACAAAGAATTATCAATGGCACCATGGTGTTGCTCCTAGCACAGAACCTGGCAAGCAGGAAGAGCACAATAAATAATTACCCGGGAGAATGAATGAGAAAAATGAATGAATGAATCAATCAATCAATGAAATGAATGTAGATTACGGAGCTAAATTGACCAATATTTGAATACCAATTCTATCATCACTGCTTATGTGATTTCAACCAAATTTCCTACGGAACCTCAATTTCCTCATCTCTGAAGCAGGAATAATTTCTTCCTTGAAGGATTATGAGAAGGATTAAATCAGATAAAACAAAATTTTCGGTGCTCATTCTCACTGACTCAAGCATTTCTACTTTTGGGAACTTATCTTACAGACACTCTTCCACAGTCAGATGAAAGATACATATTCCTTAAGTGGTAGACTGCCAACATCATCACCATCTCATCATCACCTTCATAGTCATCATCATCATCATCATCATCACCTTCATGCTCATTGTCAACGTCATCACCATCATCACCTTCATGGTCATCATCCTCTCCATCACCAACATCAACAGCATCATCATCATGCTTGCCATTATCCCCATTAACAATAGTCTTGGGGAGGCTGCCTTGGGGTACCGTACCCCTACAGATGCTGGCAACCCCTGTCTGAGATGCACAAGACGAGAGTGTCCCAGGGCTGGAAGCTTGTGCAGGATGGCCTCTGAGGTCCCTTGTATCTCACATTCTGATATGAATCACTCTCTTCCCCTCAGGGCCCCATCTTAGCCAGGAAAGAGACCAATGCACTGGGCTCAGCCTTCCCTCAGGGCACTGAAGGAGCCACTCTGCTCCCTCCGGCTGTTTGTGAACTCCAGTGTAGCCTGGAGGTGGCCTGAGGAACAGAGAGGGAAACCTAGGCTTTCTTCTTTTCCTTCTTCTTCTTCCCCATCACATTCACCCCAGTAATGCAAGAACCCAGAGCTCAACGGGAGCAGGAAACATGTTGTTCTAGAGAGTAGTAGTGACACCGCGGGGTTGGTGTGTGACTACCGCATCTTCCACATTTACTGCCAGTGTCCTGCCCTGTCTGGAGAGCCTGTGGGCCCACGTCTCTGAGAAATGTCAACGTGGCACTCACCTCGATTTGCTCTTCTCCAAGTGTTTTCACCACAGTCGAGAGCAAGCACCAACCAGAGCAGCTAGATTCAAATTCTGAGTCTGCTACTTACGAGCTTTGTGATCTTGGGCAAGTTACTTAGCTTCACCATGCCTCAGTTTCCTCATCTGAGAAAGAAGACTAGAATGCAACCTACACCTTGGGTGGTTGTGAAGGTTACATTGATTAAGACAAGTGGAGAACTTCTCCATGTACCTAGCACTCCGAGGGTCGTTCTATGTGGCAGCACTGAGAGGTGAAGTGGGGACTTGCCTTGGGAGAGGGTATTTGAAATTCTTGTTCTCTCTCCCACTTGTGACTTTGCTCAAGTCACTGAAGTTCCAGGGCCTCAGTCCTTAACCTGTGAAATGGGACTAATCACACCTGCCTTGACTGTTCTCAGGAATCTTCAAGATCAAATGTGAGCATGGAAGTAAAAAAGGCTTCACAAAAGGTAAAAAGAAGAGCAAACATGTGACGGACCAGATAGTCACAGTGGAGCACGCAGAGCCCCTGAACAGAAGTGGACAGGGTAGTGGCTACCAGGAGGTTGAGAATGCACTCCCCGGCAACCATGTGTGCTAGGGAGACCACCCTGGAAGCTGAGAGTACTTGTCGAGGGTGCTGCATGCACATTCAGCCACAGACCTCTTCCCACTAACTGGTCTGAGTTTGGGGTGCCTGCACTGGGGGAAGGCAGCAATGCCTCACTTGTCCCAGGCCTGCCTTGTGCCAGCCCTCACCTCCACTCCGAGAGGCACCCAGGACACTGTGCCAGGAAAGGGACCCCCGCTGAACCACAGCCTCCATGTGGTGACCACCTTCTCTGAGCCTGGGTCTGTGCTGGGAGCTGGGTGAGGAGAGAGGACAAATAAAGCAGGGCTCCACCTTCATGGGGGGCAGGGTGGCTGAGGCTCAAGAAGCTACAAGCCCAACAACACCAGGCTTATGTGAAGCAATGGAACAATGAAGAAGTGGATATAGGCAAGGAACTCATGTTGAACTGGAATTAAGGAAGGCTCCGTGGAAGAGGGGGCCCTGAGCTGGGCTTTCAAAGTTAAGATAAGAAGAGGGAGAACAAGCTCATGGGCAGGCACAGGGCAGGCGTTCAATAGATATCTGGTGACTGAATGGATGAATGGGTGAATGAATGAATAGATGGATGGATGGAGGGATAGATGGACAAATGAATGAGTGAATGGATGAATGGGTGAATGAATGAATGAGCGAAGGAATGGATGGATGGATGAATGAATGAGTGAATGAACAAATGAGTGAGTGAATGAATGAATCTGAAGCTTCCAGGGACTAGCAAGCCACTTCAGAGTAAGCCCTGAGAATGTAATGCCTTCAGGGACCAGGCAGGCAGCACCAGTGATTGGAACAGATCTCATCTGAGTGATAGGGAGCGGTGGAGACTGTGACAAACCGGCCATCCACAGCTTACAGGCACTCACAGTCAAAATCTTTCAAAACGTTTATAAAGGCAAAAAAACCAAAACACAACCAAACCAAACCAACAAAAACCCTCTGCTGGCCAAAACGAACTCTTGGATCCCCAGCCCAGCCCTCTCTGGTTACCTGCTAAGAAGGGGGGCCCTTTGAAGCAGCCCCCGTACACCCCAGGGGAGGATGAGCCTAGAAGGACAAGCCCTGGGGTGCAGAACAAGTGCCCTCCCCACGTGGGCCCCAGACCCCTTTTCCGTCGCCAGGGTGGCAGCAGACCCCACTCCCGCTGGGCAGGTGGTGAGGGGTCAGGCCTCCTCCGCACGCCCCTCCCCACACCCTACACCCCTCCACAGCCTGAGCAGAGCAGGGAGCTCTGGGCCATCAGGCTGCAGGGTGGAGATCAGGCTGGAACTTGGCGCTTGGGATGTATAGGACTGGAGAGTGTGGGCACTGCCATTCTAGTCTAATCTGTGCCAATAAGGTCTGCGTCTAAGGGCAGCTGGTCTTGACTCTACAGCGGGGACCCCAGTGGAACGCCTGCCCGTTACTCCCAGGTGATGGAGGACAGTCCCGGGGCACGAGGCTGCATCGGAACCTGCCATCCCTCCTCCACGCATGGGGAAGGGCCGTGTGCCCCGCCCGGCCCGCCGCCCGCACCTCTGGCCTTGTAGTACTCATGCTGCAGCTCGACCTCGTCGTCCTCCGAGGCGTAGTTCAGCAGCTCCTCCTCGTACACAGCGAGAAAGTCGATGTCTTTTTTTCTCCTCTTTTTCTTCTGGGGCATCATTTTGCCGGCTGCCCCTTCCTGGCACTTGCGGGCTCACGGCGCCCACCTCCTTGCACTTTCTTGGCCCCGAGGCCCTTTCTCCCTGAGAGAGCGCCCACCTCTGGGTGGCCCAGAGCCCACACTTGGGTTCCCTGTGTCCACACCTGTCCTCTCCGGCCACGGAGCAGAGCCTCGGTGCCCTATCTCTGCCCTTCCTGTCCCTGGCCCCTCTCTCTGCCCCCCCCCATCAGCCACCTCCTCTTGCACCTGCCCTGGGGCTTCTCCTTGGGCCTCATCTCTTATTCATGGGGACTGAGGCCAGGCTGTCCTCCTTACCCCGCCCCCTCTCCTCCCTTCCTGGAGAATCAGGTGACATCGAGCCCTTGGCATCTTTTCCCCACCTGGCCCCATAGCAAGGGGGCCCCCTGGGGCCCCTCCAGGTCACCCCAGGGGCAGGTGGGGGCCTCCCCCTTGGAGATCCCCCTAACCTCACAGCATTCTAGGGCCGTGAACAATGTCCCCAGGGCCCGGGGCCTTCCTGAAGAGGGCAGGGCCCCGAGTCCTCCGAGCTCCCAGGACTCAGAGGCCTGTTTCTCTCCATTATTCATGCCTCTGCTCACCTTACGAAGCAGGCAAGGTTCTTACTGGATCCTTCTTGTTCCATCTCTCTGCTTCCGTCTCTTTGAGACAGCTGGCTTCTGGAAGAGACCATTTGGCTGGTGGAAACCTACTGCCCTTCAGAGATGCTGCTCCGACCAGCACTCTGACAATTCACAAAGCATTTTTTGAGGCATGAGTTACCAGCATCGCCAGGCCAGAGCCATGGATGCTGGAGAGGCCCACTGCATCATGGGTGACCCCCTCATGCGTGGCCAGGCCAGGCATCTGTTTTAACAAGAACTCTCTGTTTGCCCACATTGCTTTCTGCATTTTCAAATGAAATGGGCCAAACCCTCAGAGCCCACTCCACTTGGCCCTTACTTCTCCAAATGCTGCCCCACACGGGATTCTGAGCTGGGGCAAGAGAACCAGGGCCCAGAGGCCCCTCTCCACCCTCAATCAGCAAGAAAATTTCCCTTAGGACCATTAGACTCCTCTACCTTGCTTATTTTATTTTGTTAAGATTTTATTGAGGCAATTAAGATTTTATTAAGATTTCTTACAACCCGAGTTGTAAGATTTCTGTATAAATCCCGAAATGCTAGAAATTTCCTATCTACTCGGAACTCTTATCCCTGTCTTGGCAGTATGAGGTCTTTGGACAGAATTAGAACTGCTCAGCACCTCCTGGCTGTGTGGCCTTGGACGAGGCCTGGCTCTCCATCCGTGGAAGGGGGATAATGACCCATTAAGGCGTACTGAGCATTTGGAGAAAGTGCGCAGTAAGCAGAAGCCTCAGGAACACAGTAAGGGCTTACTAAATGCCTGTGACTCCTAATCAGGGTTTCTCTCTTATTTAACATGATGTGTGTGGTGGGGGGGGGGCAGGTAATGCTTTGCTATCATCTCAGATTGTTCCGGAAGCCCTCCTTTGGGTCCCATTTGCAAGGACTGGCTCCACGTGTCCTCCTTCCTTTGTGGGGCCCAACCCACAGCAACACATCAGAAGCTACAGGTAAACACACTGGATCATCTGTGTGCTTCAAAGTTCCTGGGAGGACTGTCTTGTAAGGGCCTGTTTCCTTGTCCATCTCCCACCACCACCACCCCACCACCTCTCCCAGCCACAAGCTCTTTGGGGGGCAGAGATCATGCCTCCCTGTTCCCTGTTAGGCTCCCAGGACCTATCATATGCCAGGCACACGGTGGGCTTCGTAAGCATCCGTTCAGCGGATGCATGCACACATGTGTACATGAGCAAATTGCAGGCAGACCTATAAAGCAGCCACGAACACAAGGCCCACTGCGCAAGGGAAACACAAGGAACAGATACCATTCTGAGCACATTTGGCCTAGACAAGAGGGCACTGCCTCCCATGTAAACGACCGTCCTGTAGAGCAAGCACTGGTCTATTCTGTGTGCCTGAAAAGGTAGTCTTACCACTGTGGGTGGTGACTGAAGAAAGGCAGGGTTCAACCCAATCCAGGAAGAGAAGGATGGGACCCTGAGTACTGCCTAGGGTGACATACAGTGGCCGGATGGCATCGCTTGTCAACCTACAGCAGGGGGCGCTCCAGCGGCCCTTGTGGGTTTGGCTTGGACGGCCATCCATCTCGCAGCTGGGCTGCGCTAGGGTGCTGGATGGCAGGTGCAGGCAGACAGTGGACGAACCATGACGGGTCACCCAGCCCGGGGCCACCGCAGTGGGCCAGGGGCCAGGGAAGAGCGCTAGCCAGCGCCAGGCTCTGCTGCAAAAGCCAGGGCCAGAAAGTGGCTCTATCCCCAGACCAGGAGGAGGAAAGACTCAGCCAGGACCGGGGCCTCCGGCATGAGGTAGGGTTTGGAAAGGAGAAGGGAGTTGGTCTGCAGCCACCACGAGACATTCACTCGCTCCTCCTTTGTCACCTCCGTGTCCTACCACCTGGCGGCCCCGAGCTGAGCCCACCTACTGAGCCCTTAGCCCCGAGCCCCAGAACCCAGGACCCTGGCCACCACCTCACCTTCTCGGTTCTACAGCGTCTCCTCTCCGAGATGCTCTCTGTCAAGGTCAATGTTTCCTAAAGTAGGATCCCAGGGATGCCTGGATTGGCCCTGCAGAACTCACCAAATGCCCTGCAGAACTCACCAAATGCCGATCTCAGACCCCTCACCCCCACCACAGACCTACTGAAAATCTCTGAAGATGAAACTTGGGGATCTACAGTTTCAACAAGCCCCTGTCCTCAGCAAGGGTGGGGATTTGCTCTCTAAAATTAGAGAGCAAGGGCACCTGGGTGGCTCAGTTGGTTAAGCGACTGCCTTCGGCAAGGTCATGATCCTGGAGTCCCGGGTTCGAGTCCCACATCGGGCTCCCTGCTCGGCAGGGAGTCTGCTTCTCCCTCTGACCCTCTTCCCTCTCGTGCTCTCTATCTCTCATTCTCTCTCTCTAATAAATAAATAAAATCTTTAAAAAAAATAAAAAAATAAAAAAATAAAATTAGAGAGCAAGTGGGGACTACACCTGCCCAGGTGAACTCACTCACTTGATTAGTTCATCTGAACTAAGGGGAGGGGCTCAGCAAGGTTCTGTCCCAGAGAAGCACACAGGAGTCACCTGTAGAGTTTTTAATGCTGATGCCTGGGTCCCACCCTGGAGATGTCGATTTATGGGGTCTGGGTCAGCAGTGGAGCCTGGGCATTGGGAGTTTTCAAAGCTCCCAGCAGATACAGGACATCTGAGCAGCAGTAAGCACTCACACCCTTCCCCGAAGTCTGAGGCAGCTTCATTTTCTGGAGCCACCAGCGTCCTCACCACGGGGAGACGTCATCGCCCAGGAGAGATCAACTTCACCTCCTCCCCTGTTCTGCGGAGGAACAGCCCTGGAATCCGCTCCAAGTCCTGATGAGCGGGGGCAGAGTGAAGTTCAACCGTGGGTGATGCACGCCCCCTGCTGGCAGTATGTGGTTTGACCTGTGGTTAATTCTACCTTTGGGCTCTTTAGAAAAAGAGACTCTAAATACAGAGAAATTATTAGGATTACTACGGAAAATACTACACATCCAGACAAAAACTAAAATGTTCATTTTGCATGAAGTCTGATTCAGATAAAAAAACAAGAAAATGTTTATTGGACTGTTTTTGCAAAAAATTAAAATCAAAATTTTTTAGAGAATCCATGGCATTAAAACACAATAATTAAGAGAACAGGGTCTGAAACAGTACCAAATGTTGACAGGGACATGGAGCAACTCGAACTCTCATACCACTGGTGGCAGTGGTAATTGGTACAGTCTCTTTGGAAAAGAGCTTGCACTCTTTTCTAAAGCTCACCAGACACTTCCCACACAACCCAGAAATTCCACTCCTGGGTGTTTACCTAAAAGAGATGAAAATGCATGTCCACACAAAAGCTGCATGTGAATGTTCATACAAGCCTTATTCATAAGAGCCAAATCCCAGAAAACAACTCAGATGCCCATCAACTGGCTAATACTTACTCAGCCAGAAAAAGGGAGAAGCAGTGATACATGCTACATCATGGACAAATCTCGAAAGCATTAAACCAAGTGAAAAGAACCAGTCAGAAAAAAAAAACCACCTTCTGTCTGATGACAGTTCTGTGACATTCCGGAAGATGTAAAGCCAGACCAGTGGTTGCAGGGGCTGGGCATGAGGGCAGGGGATTGATGACAAGGTGACCTGAGGAGGCAGTGCTTTGCCCCAGGGCTTTACCCTATCTCTCTTACTGGCCTGTCCCATCTGCTGACTTTCCATGTCCAGGTGAGAGTCCATCTGCGTACAGCCCACAGTGCAGCCTGGCCACTGACCTGACCTCATCCCCAGCTCTGTGGTGTTAGGACCCTGTGTGGGGTTGGCTGGGAAACGGCGCTCAGGGCAGGCTTTGCAGACTCACTCTGACCCCAAGCAAGGCCACGGTCCATGCCCACCACATCCTCCATCTACACTTAGCATCCTCCAGTCTAAACTGTGCAAGGTGGTTATGTACCCTAATTGATGAAGCTGATACTTGGATTCCCATCAGTTTCTTGTGTACTGATAAAAACACAAAGAGCAGACATAGTAATTATAGGAATCCCAAACCTCTGATTATAGGGAAAGGGCTGTTTATCCCACAGACCATTTGCATATGCGCACAAATGCATACACATACACTTACAAAATGATCTCATTGCCCGGGCCTCATTCCCCTTCCAGTGCATCCTCCTGCTGCTGAATGGATTCTCCTAAAGCTTGCCTTTGGTCCTGTCACTTTCCAGTTCAAAAACCTTCCCTCACACCTCAGTGCAAACAAACTTTGTCAGCCAAGATTGTGGATTGCAAGCAGCGGAAACGAACACTGGCTAGTTTAAGCAGAAAAATTATTGTTTGAAAAGTTACTGTTGGGGGAAGGGGATCTCAGAATTTCCAAGAGGTCTTAGG